ATTTTAAGAAGTGCCATGCTGTAGTGAAGGATAGGAGAGAATTGCTAAGGTTGAAGAAAACCCACAGGTATGTATATGTCCTTGTGCCACTGCTAGCCTCTGTGTGCAGAAAGACCTCTTCTGTTTGGCTGCAGTGCCGTTGGAAACCACAAGCTCTTTGTTAACCACTAAAGGAGATGTTCTTCTGGCTAAACTTGCACCAATCACAAGTTGCCCAAAAGTAGGCTATTGATTCAAAGGCTTATCATTAACGCAACATTCACTCATTCCAATGCCTCACCTCCAGCATCACAGTGAGTGCCAGTAAAATTAAATTAGCGCTGTGCTAGTGGGCAGCTGGGTGAGTGCTCTCAGTGCACTGAGAAACAAAGGCAGGAGGAGGATGTGGCCCCAGTGCTGCCTGCAGCACGCACAGAGCCTTTGTGCTCAGGTCTGTGTGCAGGATGGGCTGTGGGCCTTTCCCTTCCCAGCTGCATAGCGGACTGCTCTGGGAGCTCGGGGCACATCTCACACAATGAGCCACGTAGGAGGAAGCACTTACCATGTAATTCAGGTAGGGAAAGCAGCACATGTGAGTGGCATAGAACCTACCGGCCCTTGTAGATTATATGATTTATACATTCACTCAAACAGCAACGAATGAGCAGTCTTAAAGAAGGCAATATGCTATTGTGCAGTTACTTCTATGCCTTGTGTTTTTAATGAAAGGGATTATACATTCAAAGTTAATTAACTGATTTCTCAAAATCATTTACACATCTACTCTGTTTCCAGTAAAACTCCAGTTTCACATTAGTAACTTTAGAAATCTATGAAGAAAAAAGAAGATGACAACCGACCAACCCAACCTCCTGCATTAGCGACTCTGTTTCATTTGCAATGACTTCAGATGTGGAATTGTTAATACTAATGAATTTCACAAGCTGCACTTTGGCCCATGAATTTGCATCAGTCCATGCTTTGGAAGGGTAGTCACTTAAGTACTAGCCTGGAACCGGTGTCCGCCTGAGCATGCCACTAGCAGGTGGCATGTGCCAGCTGAGGAGGTCTCCGATGGCCGACTGTGCCCTATCTGCCTTGGTAGTCCTGCTTTTCATCGCTTCTACTGGCCAGAATCTGAACTGGAAAGGAGTGTGGGAAGGGGCATGCCTCAGCACAGCCACTCTCGCGCTGCACCAGCTCAGCAGGGACGAAGCACAGAGGAAGGAAAGAAGTGGCCCTTCTTGAGAAGAGCAATGTAAACACAGGCTGGTGTTGCCTCTGCCATGCCACATGCGTGGAGCACTCCTGCTTCCTTGTGCGGATGGTGAGCTTACTGTTTTAATTAAGCTATTATTTCAATAACCATCACGAAGTGTGGGCATGGCTTGGGAAACATTAAAACCAGGGTAAACAAAGAATGTAGCACTCCATCTGCTTCTCACACTGCAGTTCAGCACCGGGAATGTTTGGGCAGCACACACAGCTGAGTACTGTCAGTATTTGCAGTAGGACTCACCACGCCAAGCCCAGCCCGCGAGTTGTGCGTGGGCAGGGGGCCTTCAGTGTTTTAAATGATTTGTTCTTTTCTGTTGTGAAGAACACCTCGGCTTCGTCGCGCCGAATGCTGCCTGTGAAGCCTGCTTTGCCACTTAAGGGATGCTAAATGGAAGCTAGCCAATGAAACAGAGGTAAATTTAATTACAAAAATATAACATTCTTCAAAACCAACAGCTCACTCTCTCCCCAATGAGGAAAAATTAAAATAAAAGCCCTTTGGAAACGCTGAGGAAATATCAGGGGCTGAGGTGAAAGGGACACAGCTTGACAAGTACGCTGAAAGCTGAATGTGGATTACCCGTGAGTGCAAAAATGAATAAATGTGTTTTATTCCATTATATTAATGAAATGGTTAATTCGGTTGCTATAGCAACGAAGAACAGCCTTGCTAAAAAGCTAAAGGGCTATACATAATGCCTGCTACAAGGTCTCTCTAATTCTAAAGCTGATTTTCTTAGCTACAATAGAAGTGATATGTGTTTTCAATATCATCTTAAGCTTTTGCATCAAATCCCGAAGCTAATCCAATAAATAGACTGGTAGCATAAAATAGCATATATGTTTGCACCTCATAAAACTTACAAAAGGGGCTTACCTACACACAATCAAAAGAAAAGATCGATAGAGTGCGAAGTGAGGCTTTTTAAACGACCGTTCTTCATGCGATAGTGAAACAGCAAATATGTACAATGGGAAGTTCCTGCAATTACACATCACGTGACTGTGCAGGAAATCACTGCAGAGCTGGCTGAGACACCAAGACATAATTTTGCTGACCACCCCGATACATATTTATCCTTATGCAAAGTAGAATTTATTTTTGTTTCACTTGCATTTTGTATTATTTTATCAAATAATATAAATAATTCTTAAAGGCTTTGAAAAAGGAATTCCACAGTCCTGTTTTTGTTCTAACATCAAAGCGATGTAAAGGCTGACCGGGGCCCTGCAGCAGCGCAGAGGACAGACTGAATCTCACGAAGCCAAAGCAGAGCACGACAGCCCTGGGCAGCCCTTCCAGCCCCTACCTGGGGCAGTCAGCACCATATGGCCCTGTTGCCTCCATTGGGATGGGGATGGCCATGCAGCCAAGCATCTCTGCCCTTCGCTTTGTCTCTCTTGTTTGTCAGAGTTGTCAAACGTCCTATCGCTCACCCTTCCTAAAATAAATGAGAATGCAGCACACCCACACAAATGGCAGAAGCCTCTGACTGTCACCAAACTCAGACTTACAGATCTCTGGTGTGCACCTGCACAAAAGGGCTGCCTCTTATCTGCAGGCCATCTCATCTGCACAACAATGGGAGTTTGGTTCCCCACAAACCCTATTTCTCAACAATTACATGTGGAGACTTCAGAGACAAGCCCTACCCCTGTCTTCAGTGAGCAGAAGGAGGGCTGTGGCTCCGGACCAGGCAGGTGAGAGGTGTGGCCTTGGGGAGGCCTGCAGGCACAGACAATGTGTGCTGCCCATGGAGGCATCCAGTGTGTTTGCTTCTTTCTTGGCTGAAATGCAAGCGAAGAACTCCCGAGGTGGCTGGTAGTCATACCAAGGAGCAACCTTAACTGTGCTGTAATGTCATGTGCTTGGTGTAAAAAAAAAGATGAGCTGGGAAAGCCCAGCCACAAAGGCTGCTGGCACATTCTCTTGAAGAAATGACCACAGAGTGCACAGTTCCTCAGAAAAGAAAAATGGCAACAGCAGAGACGAGTGACCCAGATGGCCCATAAGCAGCCTAATTAACTGAAAGGCCCAGCAGCCACACTACAACTACCAATCCAGCTGCCTACAGATTCTGCCAGGTTGCCAGATGTTGCCAATGAAAACTTATCTTGCACAGTTCATCAAAGAAGTGGAGCATCCTAGTGAAGGGAAACTGTTGCCAATAAAATAAATACTTTATCTAAAAAAATATTTTCTACTAGGAAATGTCGAAAAATATAAAAATTTAACAATGTGTTCAACCTCACTGTTACAGTAGATAAATTCGGAAACATGCATACAGAATGTGTTGGCAAGATCTTCTTCTTGACAAGAAATACCCATGCTTACCATTATATTTCTAAGGCTACAGTCTTGGACTGTGTTAAAAAAGGTGGTTTTATGAAGCATGGAGCTGCTGCCACTCGGTTGGGGTTTGGCTAGTTTGCCTGGAACTAGCAAGTTCTTTTGCCACATTGAGATAACAAAGCTGGAGGAACCAACAGTGAGAGAAATACGTATGGGGAGAGGGATGCAGGGACAGGGAGCCACTCTGGGGCTGCTGGCTGCCAAGCTGTCTCTTCCATGGGTGCCCTCTCCTGTGTCCATGAAGAGACAATGCAGAAGACTCCAGACAGGTAGCCTGTGTGATTCTCTTGCCCAATTTTAGGGACCAAGCAAATGGGCATCTGCAAACGAGTCCTCCTCCAAGAAGTGGTAAAGCATCAGAGCAATACACTGGCTGCAACGCTGGAAATATAGGCTGCCCATCAGGTTTGTGCACAAACACTGGTTTTAATTTTGCTAAGAGACCAAAATAATGTTTCATTTCAAATCATGAAAAATACATATTTTTAAAATCCTGTGTAATTTTTCAAGTGCAGCTATTATTGTTGCCAGTGCTGTGCCTTGGAAATACTGAGTATGTTCATCCTAGAGGCCAAAAACCAAACTGCCTCTATAGCCTGTTAGCAAGGCAAAACATCTCTTTTTCCAATGAACGTGTATGAGTGCACTGGGATTCACACAAGCATATTTGGCAGACTTTTCAAGTATTTCTTGGACTGAAGAGCATGCACTGAACATGGGGAGCTTTTTCTGCTCAGGAATATGATGTGAATAAGAATGTGCTAGTGCGGCAGAGGAGGATGGGCTGTGGCATTTCTATCATTATTTAATTTGTCAAATACAGTTTACAATATTTTATAACAGTTATCAACAGGACAACGTGTCTAAATGCTGTGAGGGTCAGGGTTGCAGTATCTGGCTCAGTATGCCTTTAATAATACATAATTCCTTAAATGTGCAGATAAATCATTGAAATACATGAGCTTAATTTGGAACCTTTTATGCTTTGAAAATTCATATCTCTTTTTAAATAACTGGCTACAGCATTTGCAAAATAGACCAGATTTTACTTGGACCAGATTTTACTGATTTGTTTCCTTGTTCTTGAATGTGCTCAGTGGGATGGATTCCCCAAGATGGAGGTATAAACCTACAGAACCCAGGTCTTTTGTATCTTCCTCTACCCACTGTTAACACCTCATCTGACTGATGTGTTAAGACCTGCAGGAGACATAAATGTGGCCATTTCTCTGAGTTCCAGCAACACAGAGATATATCACTGACTGTCAGAGGTAGAAATTATCCACATTCCTTCAGGAATGCATTTCCCAAAACTGTTAATGGACTTGGGAGAGGAGGAGTGGGGAAGAGGGTGGGTGGGAAGAAAGAAATCTGAACAATATAACTTGTTATTCCTCTTTTAGGTTTTGTTGTTGTTGCTGTTGTTTTTTTTTTATTTTAAATGGAATTATAGTCTTGTTTCTCATCTTGACCCACAGAATATCACTAATTTCCCAAAGATTACTTTATAGCAATTTAGGAACACTGGATATCCTGGGAATACTGATTATCACAAGAAAAGCTCTGGTTTTTTTGCTACATTTGCGATGTAAAAGAAGTACCTGTGTTTAGCCACTTAATTGAATCAGGTCTCATGGCATCCTCTGTGTTTGAAAGGAGCCATGCTGCCAGATGTGATGTTTTCAGTAGAGGAACAGACAGCGTTTGAAGATTGTGATAGGATACCAAGTAAGAGGTAGGTGGTAGCAGCCTGGGATAGGATAGACATGGGTCCTTGTGTCTGCTAACTGAGCATATAAGAACTACCTGCAGAAAATCTGGATTTGATTTTTTCCTGCCCTGCTCAAGAGCACAGTACTTATCAACCAGCTTTTCAGAAAGAAGACTGAGACCACCCAGATCTCACCCCAAACACTCACCAAACAACTTGTTCTCACTCTGAGTCTCCTATTACTCATGTGAGAGAAGGAGCTACCAGAAGACCAAGAGCTTGAAATGAGTTTCAGGCAAATATTTTTTAATCAGTACAAGTATCTGTTTCTACTCCAGCGTGAAGAATTCACAACTGTGAGGAGAAGTATGAAGACAAAGCTATTAGTGGAGACTTTGGGCTTGAGCCTGCCAAGGGATGTCACAAGGTGAGCCTTCAGCGTGGGGAAAAGGATGCAAAAGGAAGACACGTCAATGGGAGACAAAGAAACACCAAACAGGGGCAAAGAGCATGCTGCATTCTGCACTACAGGCAATTAGTGGAATAATGTAAACGTAAATTAACTCATTAATGATTCCTGGAGTGCATTATAGAGATCACGAAACACCACCTGACAAGTCTCTGAAATAAAATTCTGCTTTGTAAGTAATACAAAAAAAAACTCAACACCAACAAGTTGGTTTCAATATTTATTTGTAATTTGGAGCACAAATCGTAAACCAGGAAAGTTGGAATATTTTTAATCAAAGCTTTGGTCGATTACAATATGAGGTATAAGAAATTGAATGAATAGATCATTTACTATTATTATGAAACTAAAGGCTTTATGTTCTTAAGTGGAGTAAAGCTGACAGCAATGCATTCATATTAGAAAGTTCCTACTGTGAATGAAAAATGGGTTAATACTGAAATGTTGTTCAGTGAGACAGACAAATCTGTACTTCTTTTTGGTTGTGAAATCATGGTAGCGATACGCAACCACTAACTATGAAGAATTGGCAATGGGGGAAATCATCTTGCCAGTTTGCCCTATACACGTATGTTTGGCAAACGTGGTTTGCTGGGTGTGTATTCCAATTGCACCTAATCAGATCTCTGACCTGTATCATGTACATTCCGGAACATTAATTGGCACAATTAAAAAGTTATTTAGAGGATGAGCTTGGAAAAAACACGTTGTCCCTTCTCCAAATCCTAAAATGAAACCTGGGCTTTGCAATAAGCTGGTTTAACTGTTTGTAGATAGATGTTACAAGTGTTCACTGGGGGAAAAAAGTAAGGATGACGGTACCCAGGCAACACCAAATCTGAATAGTTCAGCATGTGTCAGGGTACAGCAAATTTATTCTTATTAAGTGACTGGTGTGAGAAAGAATTAGAAAGGATTATAAAAATACACTACCATATGCTGTAGTAGTTGAAAGTGATTAATCCAGTTCTTAAATCCTATTTTAAATTCCCTTTCATTTCTTCCCATAGAAAAATGGAAGCAACATCGCTTTGTTTGAATGCTGTGTAGTTAATTACATCTTCTAAGAAACTCTTTTAAAATGAAATGTAATGTTTAATTACAAAATGCCTCCTTGAAAACTGTTAGCTTGTACATTGATTTGTAGTTCATTAAAAATGGTTTCTTAATTATATTTACAGCCAGAAATTACACAGAGATTAAACAGCCTACAGAGGACTTTTGAAATTACAGCACAAATCGCAAGGAAAAAGTTACATTTCAGACAGTGGACAACTGACAGCTACAACCACCTAATTGCTGCCTCTCTGTAATTTCAGAACCTAATTGTCATAAAAATAATAACTGGAAAAAAAGACAGTTCACTGTAATGACTCCCAGTATTGCTTTTTTTTTTCCATAAAGGTTGATTTTGAGGTTTAATTAGAAGGCAGATCAGTGGCGGTGAGGCAGCGCAGGGCCGGCACGGCTCAGCACAGGGCCAGGGGCAGCCCTCGCCGGGGCTCATACGGGGTGGTCCTGGGAACCATGCGGATGCAGTCGATGATGGGGCAGACGCTGAGGCACAGGGTGCAGCCCGTGCAGCTGTCTGTGACCGTGGGCAGGTGGGTTTCGGCATCAAACTGGATAGCCTGCGGATGGGAGGGTCACGTTATTGATGCCCCTTGCGGGAAAGGTCAGAACCGCTCCCATTTCAGTGCCTGCATTTCCTGCAGTGCAGCTCTTGGAGACATCTTGGCGCGCTCCGGTGCTGCAGCTATAGCAACTGTTGGGCTGGCAGGGAAGAAGCCCCCTGACTCTCTGCAATTAGGAACGCCATCCCAGCCTCCAGATTGGGCTGTAATGGATGACTCCGGCCCCTGCAGCTCAGGCTCACAGGGATGACACCCTGTCCAGAGGCAGTGTCAGCACAGTCCTCTGCCAGGGAGCACTGACACAGCCGTAGCCGCAGAGCAGTGCTGACAGCAAGCACCTCTGGGCTATTCTGGTTTTTTATTGTCAGCAAAGCACAAGCAGTTTAATAAAAAATGGGGAGAAACACACCATGTTGTGCCTTCTGATTATTTTCCTTTGCAAGTCTTCGAAAGGACTATCTGAGTTTTGAGCAGGCAGAGCTTTCTTTCTTTCTCACATTTCCATGCAGTGAATCCTCATTACCAATTAGTGTGATAAGTGAATTTGAATGTGAAATAACAATTGAAGTCTCAATGAAATAAGCTCCTGGTATAATGGAAATGGCAATTAAAAACATAAACAAAAGCATCACAAAACCGCAAAAGCTCCAGTGTCTAACAAACAAGCCTAGGAAAGTTTTAAAAAAATAAACAGTAGAAAATCTAAGAGTTTTAGGAAGACAAGATCTTTCCTGGCCTGGAAACCAAACTCTCATGTATCTGCAACCAAGCTGGGCCTGCAAATGTCACCAGGTACTGCTAGCAGCTGGGGAGCAAGCGGGTGGGTCTGTGGGGCAGCTGCAGGGCACGTCTGTGGCATTTGGGGTTTTGTAGGGGAGAAAGTGATGAAACGGATGCAGAAAAAGCAAGGGCACAAAGTAGGTACAAAACACCTTGAATCTGTGTGTTTTAATTCAGCTTGAGCACAAAGAAAACTTTGGTTTGCATTTAGGTTTCCTTCCTTTCTCCCCAGTAATAATATGCATCATTAAGGAGTTCGAAGAGACGGAGTCCTGGACTGCAGTGCCACCTTCAAGTTAGGGAAAGCTCTTCTGCTGGAGCCCTACAAGATGGTAGCTCTGCTGAGCAGTGTCAATATTTTGAAACAAATATAAGCGGATATTTTGAGGTACCTGTGGCTTCTGACTTCTTTGCAATTAATAATTTCTTTGCAATTCTCTGCAATTAATTTATTTGCCATTTCCTTAAACATTAAAGGAAAAATACTTTTTGTGCTAAGCACCTCCTAGGCTTTTACACTTTGGTGCCTTTGATACTGATTTTTTCCAGTTATAGAGAAGTAAGCTGCACTAAATATGGACACAGTCCTTTGCTCTCCAAGAACTATAGTCTCCCTTTTGCTGGGAAATGTGACACAAGGCCGTGAAGATCGCAGTGTCAAAAAGAAATTTAGGTAAAGACTACTCTAATCATCTAATCCTGTAGAAATGCAGCACTTTCTCATATCAATGGAAAAAACATGTCTATCTTTGTTCTGACGGTTGTTTTAATCACAGGAGCTGATTTTAGATGGGCAAACTTCCTTCTTTGGCTGTGTGTAGTTAAGTAAGTCATCAGACAATACTGATTAAACTGAATTAAGGAAAAACAAAAGGTCTTGGTGTTCTGAGGAGACTCACTGCTCAGTTAAAGTGCTTGTCTTTGACAAATCTTTCTTGTAATGTGATGAATAGAAGAAATACTGTGGAAATCATTGTTTAATGCACAATAGATTCCACAGAAACCCTGCTAAAGAACCTGTCCCCTTATAGCCCTCCTTAAGATACTGAAAGGCTGCTCTCAGGTCTCCCAGGAGTTTTCCTGTCTCCATCTGCCCCTTCTAACATGGATCTCCTTCATTTTCTTCCTCACCGGAAGAACCCTGTTTCCACTTGTGGTTAGGGAGAGGCCAGGAAAGTGACCCAGAGTGAGCAGAGAGACGCGATCCCATCCTTGAATAGTCCCCCAGAAGCTGCACTGGGTGCTGCGGAGCAAACGGCTCTGACAGGGCTCATATGGCATAGCCTGGGAGCACACTGGGGCGCAAATGCGGTGTTTTAGACATCTGCTTTTGCCACCTGCTCATTAACAGAAGGTGGATTCTTTCTTCCCAGCAGCAGAAAGATAACTCATTGTGCCTTCCTGCTAATTACAGCTGTGCTCTTACCTGGTAGCCGGAATCATTACAGGTCATGTAACATTTGCCACAGTTGATACACATTTCCTCGTCAATCAGAGCCACAACTTGCTCTGTGTTGCAGAGCTCACCATATGTTCCAATATACTGCAGCGCTTTTCCAATTACATCCTAGGGAAAAAAAATTATTGACTCATTTAGAAGATACCTAAGCTGTTTCTATAGCTGCACAGGAGCACTCTCTAGTACTTTAATATAGAAAAATTGGCCAGGCATTGTGAGGATGTTTATGATTTTTCTTATAAATTTCCAATTTGTCGACTCTCAAATATTCTGTAAAATACAAAGAAATCTTCGTAACAGTACATTTTGAATGTAGGCAGCAGCTTTAAAAGTATGTATCTGTATATAAATACATTATACAAATAGCTTACACTTGTGGTACCTTTGAATATACTATTTTATCTGTCCATGTTTTACCATTACTGTGTGACATTTCAAGAAACAAAATGGTGCACAAAACAGGAGTGACATGCTGCAGACAATCTGACCATCCTTGGTCATTTTGCATTAGCACAGATTTGAGGACTCAGCAAGAAAAGTTCCAATAAACCGAGAATAATAATTGCTTTTCTTTCTTTAGTAAGAAAGATGCACAGATGACATGAAGATCATCAGATTATTCCAAATATTGTACAGAAATAAGATGTAGGTCTTGTTCTGCAAGTTTGGGTTCAGTTCTTTTAACTACATAGGAAAGGTTTTTTTTGGCATCAAGTGTGCACACCTGTGCTGCAAAAATAAACGTGCATGGCAGACGCACACAGTGTGGGTACGCACCATAAGAAGAGGACGTGCCCTCTAAAAGAAATTGTTGGGGACCTACCTGATGCAAATCATTTGCTCTTTATGTATAGGGAAACTACATTGTTCAGTGGCAGTTCAACTGTGCAGAATGAAAGGCAGGAATGGGACAAGTCCCAGGTTCTATAGACAATAGATATCCCTCAGTCAAATCAGCTTAACTTGCGGAAGTATAGCACAGATGGTGAACATCACTGCATTTTACAAGATTCTCTCTGAGGTACAGTATTCCTTGCCTGGATATTTTCTGAGTTTTGTAAGTATGCTTTGACAACAATTCTCATGCTGCAAAACAAGCTAGATTTTAAGTGCAGGGTTCTACATGGTTAAAAAAAAAGTTGAGCTCAATAAATTCACATTATGTGATGCAAGAATACATTTTACATTTGCTTTAAAAAGGGGCATAACTGTTAGATATTTCAAAAATCTTACTGAATTTTAGGTGCACAGACTTGGCTTCAAAGTCACGCTGCTGTAATAAATGAAGAAGTCATTACGATTTTAATTAGGGAAATTGATAAAAGTCAACTGAAAAATGCTAGAGATCAAACCAAAAATGAGACACAGACAAGTCTACCTAGAATTACAAGCTTCAAAGTACTTACCCTTGGTCTTTCGCTGGCAAGAAACATGATAAGAGTTTGTTTTCATATTGTTTCTCAGTCAAAAAAAACCCCCAAAAAACTACCAACCGTTTTCAGTGTCTTCTAGCACACTATAGTTAAACAGTATAATTTGTAATCACACACAATGCTCACTATAGTTTTCAATTCTCAAATAGAAAAATGAAGATCTGGATTCCAGTACCTAACATTGCATATGTTGTTCTGGGCAGCCTTACTTTCAGATGAACTAAGAATCACCAATCCTTCCTATGCCACATCAGAGGAATAAGGTAACACAGTTTTATCAATGTTAATTCTAAAGAAAAGCTTTGCTACATGGATTAAATATAGAAATTGGTTCAACCTTTTCTTTCTGAGATTGCTGAGAGCTTTGAACATCGTCTCCATTTGCCTGGCCTTCATCAACTAAGTTACAGTAGTGTCTTTACACCCTGAGATAAATCTTGTATCTCACTGGATGCAATGGTAGGATCTATGAGGTTGCTGTTAATTTCTGCTGAGGTAGGAAATTCAGCGATATCCCAGAAGAAGGATAGGGAAAATATACTTTTTTTTGTTGTTCCAAAAATGTTCAAATTTTTTCTCTGTGCCAAATCCTAACTTGCTTACAAGTGACATACCTTGGTTGCATTGAGCCAACGCTAAAAGCCTTCCAGTTCTCTGCAACATGTAAAGAACATTAATGTTCTTCCAGTATAAAATGTCTATGGCACATTGCTTAAGGCAGCATGATGAGTGTGGACAGATGACTGCAAGTGAGCAAGTTATCACAGCTTAATGAGTTAGCACTCATCAACAGAGCTGTGCAAGCTGATTATGTGCACGGTCCAAATTCACTGCAAATTTGGAGTAAAATCTGTTTGCTTAAACCACTGTAAAAGGTCAATTAACTACTTTGAAAGTGTTTAAGCTAATACTTTTTGCTTTGCTATTGCAAAGGGCTAAGCTTGAACACACAGCCCTTTCACATACCTCCTCTGATGAACACTAACTCAATCAAACATAATTCCTTAGGAACTGCTCGTGCCCCTGTGTTTTCTTTTTCTTTCTCAGAAGAGTTAATGGATTTACTGGGAATTGTTCAGCAGTTTTCAGG